TTCTAAATAGTTCTAGGTTTTTTTTGTTCTCTTTTCTTTTTTGTTGTTGAAAAAACCAAATTTTCCTTTCATTAATTTCACTTAATTAGAATCAATCACTTCTTTATAATTAATTTAAATGCATATTCTTCGAAATAATCCTGAGCGTTTTTTTTAGTCTTGGACTACGCCAATTACGTGAATAAATAAACCAAACTGTTTCTTTTGAACGCCTGAATTTTATTATTCTCGATTTTTACATTTCCACTCTCTTTTTTATAGTGTTCAGCTTATCAATTATTTATTTCTAAAACTTATCTAATGACTTAAAGTAAATGCAGCTGTTCAAACATTTACATTGCTGAGTAAAACATTCAATACTTAAACGATATTAATGTTGAGTTCTGGAGTTCGATGAAGATCATCAAACATATTTGCAAGTACGTAAATAATTCCTTAGAATTGAAAATACTATTGTAAATGCTTCTCCAATAAATGAAAATGATAAATGAAAATGATGAAATAACGAATTACCAAATTGGACGGTTCATCAGTCCAATGAAGCTGCCTGACGTATCGTCGGTTTCCAAATTCATGAATACGATCCAGTTATCCATTTAGTTGTGCATCTCGAAAACGGCCAACGCGTATTTTTCACATGCACTAATTTTCTAATATTAGGTAAAGTAAAAAGTTCGTTCGGTTTTTTATTGATTTTTCAAAAGATGATAACTTTGTGTACATTTGTCCGATTTAAGTCAAATATGCGCCGTTTTGTTCGTAAACTTGTTGCCAACGAGATGCCTACTTCATTATACCCCTCTAGTAGAAGACTGCGTCCTTATTGCTAACTCGGAGAGCCAATTTTCACAGGCCTCTCTTGAGGCCAACTTCTCACCAATAAGCGCGTTCGCCATGGATAGGAAAAGATGGTAATCACTTGGTGCCAGGTCCTGACTATAAGGTGGGTGCATTAGAACCTCCCCTCCGAGCTCCAGGAGCTTCTGGCGAGCCACCAAAGACGTGTGTGGCCTGGCGTTGTCCTGATGGAACACAATTCGGCCTCTGTTGATCAAAGATGGCCTCTTCTGGATGAGTGCTGCCTTGAAGCGGTCCAGTTGTTGGCAGTAGAGGGCCGAATTGAGCGTTTGGCTATAAGGGAGCAGCTCGCAGTAGATGATTCCTTGCCCATCCCACCAAACACACAGCAAAACCTTCCTGGCCGTCAATCAGGTCTTGGCCACCATCTGGGCCGCTTCCCCGAGCTTTGACCATGACCGTTTGCGCTCGATGTTGTCATAAGTGACCCATTTTTCATCGCCAGTCACAATCCGCTTCAGAAACGGGTCGATTTTGTTTTTTTTTGTTGACAAGGCTGTCCTTGGTGGACCAGTAAACTCTCAGTGCTTAGAAAATCGGTTCGCAGGCTTTTTAACTAAGCCAAAATAACCGGCAACTGGGAGAAATATAGGCAACACCTAACAACCTACAATAAGGAAATTAGGTCTGCAAAAACCAGTAGTTTCAGAAAATTCTGTGAAAATGTCTCCTCTACTCCAGAGGCTGCAAGACTGCATTAGGCTCTGGCCAGAGGTAAGACTGACACAGCATTTGCCATTAAAAGATCCGATGGGACCTATACGACACACGCAGACGACAGGGAATGGCACTCTTTCTTGAGCACTTCCCGGAGACTATTCGGGACGACCAAATTCCACCAGTGGTCGCACATAAGCCAGATCGCTCAGATTGGACAGCTGCAAAGAATCTATTCAATGCAGACTCAATCAAGTGGGCACTGGCTTCTTTCTCGAAATACAAGTCACCAGGGGCTGACGGCATCTTCCCAGCACTTCTGCAGCAAGGAGGGCAAACTCTATTGCCGTACCTTGTTGGGCTGATGAGGGATAGCCTTGCGTTGTCGTACATCCCATCAACGTGGAGAATAGCTAGGGTAACCTTCATACCTAAGGTAGGAAGGAAGGACTATTCACTAGCCAAATCCTTCAGGCCTATTAGTCTCACCTCCTTCATGCTAAAAGGTATGGAAAAGATTATAGACAACCATATAAGATCGAAAGCACTAAAATTCGCACCTCTGCTTGCAAATCAGCACGCGTACAGAGTAGGTAGGTCTACTAACACTGCTCTGTACCAACTAACGGCTGAGATCCAGAACTCGCTGGAGAATAATGAGGTTGCGATATGTGCTTTCCTACACATTGAAGGTGCTTTTGATAATGCGTCTCACGCAAGCGTGATCAGAGCAGTGGAGAAAAGGAACGTGGAAGCTCCTACTTATATGCAGATGGAGTAAGGCCGTACTGGCCACTAGGATTGCAGAAACTACGGTGGGGGAGAGCAAGATACGTCTTGGTACTACGAGAGGCTGCCCTCAGGGTGGGGTATTGTCACCCCTTCTATGGAGCCTCGTAGTAGATGAACTCCTTGAGTTGCTAACGAAGAGTGGAATTCGGTGCCAGGGGTACGCCGACGACATTGTCATAATGGCAAGAGGGAAATTTGAGAACACTCTCTGCGACATAGTCCAAAGGGGCCTAAACCTAGCAAAGGGATGGTGCGACACGGTAGGGCTAAACATTAACCCGTTAAAAACAACCGTCATCCCTTTCACAAAAAGAAGATCTCTTCCGGGCTTTAGAATACTATCCCTTGGGGGCAGAGAGCTAGAAGTGTCGAGGGAAGTAAAATACTTAGGTCTCACACTAGACTCCACCTTGCGGTGGAACAGGCACGTGGAGCTAACGCTTTCCAAGGCCACAAAGGCACTCATGGTGTGCAGACGCCTAGCCGGCAGATCCTGGGGCTGCAAGCCTAGTATCATCAGGTGGCTGTACACCATGATCGTGAGGCCTATTGTTACTTATGGAGCGGTGGTTTGGGCATCGAAAGCAGCGCAGACTTCGATAGGTCTTCAGCTATCGAAGCTGCAGAGACTTGCCTGCGTCTGCGCCACTGGGGCAATGCGCACCTACCCCACCGCAGCACTTGAGGTCATGCTAGAGCTCACACCGCTCCATTTAGTTATCAATCAGACAGCGAAGCATACCATGCTGCTTATGACAGCAGAGGGGTATGGTAAAGGGAAGTTAATCTCGTCTCAACAAATGAGGGCCTTAGAAGATAACACGCCATTGGCCCTCCTTCCAAGAGACGGTGTAACGAAGAGAGTAAACTTTACGAAAAAGTTTAAAGCTACTCTCAGCAGTAAGGCGAACTGGAGCGATTCCACACTTGACCAACTGCTGAGAGGTAGCACTATTCTGTTTTCCAAGCATTTTTCAGGCAGAAGTATTTGCCATAAGTCAGTGCGCAGTAATAAATCTCCAGCGCAACTACCGGAATAGAGTACCGCAATACTCAGCGATAGCCAAGCGGCGCTAAAAGCGATATCGGCCTACGAGATTCGATCGCTATTAGTGGAGGAGTGTATAGGAAGGCTTAACCGCCTAGCAGCTTGCAACCGTGTACACCTGATTTGGGTGCCGGGGCATAAAGGGGTAGCGGCAACGAGTTGGCAGACGAAATCGCCCGCTCTGCTGCGACTACAAGAATGATGGGGCCAGAACCATGTATTGCGGTAGGGCCCCATACAATAAAGGAACTGCTCCGCACGGAGGAGAGATCGAGCAGAGACAGTCACTGGCAACAGACAGCAGGAATGCGTCAAGCTAAACTGCTACTGGGAGGGTTCAACCTAGCCAGGTTCAGAGCAATTATAAACCTCCCCAGAGACAAACTCCGTCTCCTTGTCGTGCTCTACGCTGGGCACTGCAGGCTCAAGAAACACCTATCAAACATGGGCATAGCTTCTTGTGGCAACTGCCGATACTGCGACATGGAACCGGAAACACCAGAACACCTAATCCTAGATTGCTCCGCAATTTGTAGACACAGGCTCAAGGCCCTCGGTTCCACATTGCCTCAATAGCACCCAGCAAGTATCTGGAGTTTTTCAGGGTGCTGGGACTTTGGGAATGCATGTGATGGAGGTGAGGGCACAATAGACCCTAGGTCGCAGTGCATACCTCATTTTCAAATCTAATCTAATCTAATCATGTTTTTTGCGTTAGTTCGTGTGACACCCAAACATCGAGCTCCTTTTTGAATCCAAGGTTATGCAAATGGTTCCAAACGGTTTTCTGGCTTATCTTTAGTTCCTCAGCAATTAAATAAGTGCTCACGTGACGGTCTGTTTCCACTATTTCCATGATTTTATCGCAATTTTCGACGACAGGCCTCCCGACGCGTGGTGCATCTTTGACATCGAAATTACCGGAACGGAACTTAGCAAATCACTTTTGTGCTACACGTTCGTTTACAGTATCGGGCCCATAAACTAAATTAATGTTTTCAGCCGCTTTGGCTGCTTTTTCGATTTGATCGAAGAAAAATTGTAATATATAGCGAATTTTCTCTTTGTTGGTGTCCATCTTTGACGAGCGCTCACAACGATTTGAGTAAATAAATCGAAAAACTGTCAAAAACAAATTTTTGCGCGAATAAACACGTTTTCAGCGCCGTATAGTATGACATGATGCGACACGTAACACTAGTACTATGGACAATAACGCCATCTCTTAGATAAAAACCGAACGAACCTTTTACTTGACCTATTATATAGCTGTAATTTATAGGTAACCATAACAATAACCAAACAAACTATTTTCAGTATTAGATGGTTAACCAAACAAATAGCCAATGAAAAGGACACTTTTAACCAAAGATGTTACTCTTTTATAGTTTTCCAAAGCAGTTGGCAAAATAGAGCAGTAAAATACAATATATGAAGCATTTCCGGAAAAGCAATGAGATAGTGAGATAATCATACCGACGTGTAGTAAAAGAGAAGGAATAGTTACTTTTTTCCCGAGGCTAGAACAAAAGTAACCTATTGGATAACAAATGCATTAGTTACTGATAACCTATCGGTTTCGGAGGAGTTTGCCAACAAACACTGTGACAGAAGAATTTTATATATTAGATATATTAATTGACTACTCTACTTGAACACCATAGAAGGCCTACAACCAAATTATAAAACTTTTTTAAGTAAAAGTGCTCAGAAATTATTATGTCATTTCATCAATAAGGGAAAAACAAATTGGAGATAGTTTTGCAAACTATTTAGTGTCTTTCTGATTAAAGTTATTAAAAATTCTGGTTAAATTTGCGGAATCAAAATGCCAAACAAAGAAATTCGAATTGGAAAAGGAAAGGAAAAGCTTAGACCTACTATACGTTTTAAGCAGTTGGTCCATAGTGCTTTAATTAATCAACAATCGTTGTCGGAACTAAAAGATCAACAAAGAACAAAGATACCGTTATACCGCCCGAAAGTAACAGGAATACTTACAAACAATGTATGCTGATAAATTATAATGCATTTTTTTCTTTTAACCGTTTTGTCTAACAAATCGTAGGAAAAAAACATTTTGCATAAGTATCGAGAACTCCGAAGCGATTCAGAAAGAGAATCTTTGGTAAATCTAATGGCGCATCTCATTGTTTTTTCACAAATACCCCCTGTAAGTATACTTTTTGTATCTGAACAAAGAGATATGCACTTAAAAAAAATCAGAAATGTGGATGTACATGTACTTATGTATGTGATAGACGAAATTGTTATAAAGCTGCATGGCAGCTTCTGCGCATAACCTTTGCTACGAAAATATTTAAAGTTCTTATATCGTGGCAACCTTGCACGGGGTGTTGAAAGCTTTTCGCTAGAAAGTACTTCAAAGTCCTGGCTGATAAAATATGCTAACTACCTTTATTTGGTAAATCGTTCTCGTATTTGTCTATTTCCCAACAGTTAAATCATACTTTAAATTATTTTAAATTATATCTGTTAACCCGACTTCAAACAAAATTGATAAAATGCTCGAAGAATCGTTAACAACACACTTAGGTTGGGCATTTATTAATAAGAAATGCGCAAAAATAATCCTACAGAAGGGAGATTAATTCATAATATAGAAAACTTTTTGAAGAAGTGTGAAAAAAAAGCAATAAAATTGCATGCGTATATGTTTCTAAACATACTTTAGTTTATCACCAAAATAAATGCAATCAGCTTATACCTTTTTCTAGACCCTGCATAGCCAATATAGTGATCTCCGATCATCCAATTGTCTTTATATTGTTTATATGGGTCAACATGCCCGATATTTTAGTGAAATTACCTGGCGTTGAATATTAAATATTGGTCTAGCCCCTATACTAGTATTCCTACTAAATTGATTTCTCAGCCTCTGGTTCAATTTTCCCCTCATATACTCAATATATGGAATTTGGTCACTTTGGTTGAGTTTTCATCGCACATATATAATATAATATGTATATCTGACGACGCTGCTTGAACCAAAGATTTTTTGATTTCTGTGTGGTATTTGACAGGCCATGTACTTCAATATCGACTACAAACTGTGGTTCAATGTATTCAAATCTGGACTTCCAGACGTTCAATCATCTGCAGCTACGAAACTAGAAATATTGCTTTTAAGCCACTGCAGAGTAGTTTTTACCTTATGTGCTGGTACACTTTTGGCCCAGTTTTAATCCTTTCCTTCTTTCAAAAAATTGAAAAAGTATAACGCCTTCACAAGAAATTTCCCAAGAAATAATTACGGCAGCTAGATAGTAAACACATTGAACCCTTGGATTTTGTTGTTCTGCTTATTATACATAAACTTCTTCAAAAGTGAAAGTTTATTCTCGGCGGCTTTGGATGAGCATCTTATTTCTCTTGTTCAGCAATGAACATTGTTTTCAATTGCTGATGCCAGAGATTACTTTTCCTCCTCCAAAGGCTCCGCCAGACCTCGAAGTTTTAATATACTTACATACAAGAATTTCAAATTTATTCAGAAAACAAGTTTTGTGTGAATTGGGTCATATGGTATAGCATGGTATTTTGCGTAGAATTAACATTATACAAACAAAAATAGAAACTAAAAGTACAGACTTCTGCGTTTAACAGTTTAAAAATGTAGACAATGATCTCTAAATATGTTTAATTACTTTGAGTATATAGGGTAGACAATTTGTATGGGTTAATTGTACAATATTTATGTGTGTGTTTGTTAAGTGTTATATGTATAATTCAATTTATGTGTTATTTATAAGTTAGACTTAAATAAGATAAATTAACTTCAAATTCAAATATAACCTGATGTGGGTTGATAATCCCGCGTAGATTTCGGTGGTGCTGCTGTTGTTGTTGTTGTCCTCCTGGGGCGATCTGATGTTCGCACCTTTTTTTTTGTCCGTCCGCGTTGTGGTTTTCTCCTGCCTGCTGATTTGTTCTAATTGGAATTATTAGCTATGTTGGTGCTGTTTAGCCTTTTGCATTGTCCTCTAATTCGTATTTATACGAGTTTGGAGAACAATGCAGGGATGTGTTCATTTGGTATGAACATCCCGGCCGCCTTGCAGGGTCTGCGAATAAAAAAGTTATTAGATCTATTTCGCTTTGGATTAATGAATATTTTTTTAAAATGGGTAGAGTGGTTACTTAGGACTTAAATCGCACAAGCACCGGTTAGAGTCCAAGTGCAGTGTTTTGTGCGATCACGGTGCTGTTGTCTGGGTTGGAAACATAGGGTCGGCTAGGACTAAGTGGTCCAATCTCTTAAAGATTTCGCCACCTATATCACTATTGTAGGGTCGGCTCGGTAATTCCTGCGTCATAAGGCAGTTGACTTCGACATGCCAGTCGGGATCAGTTAGTGACCATATGACGATTTTACATATGCGGTGACAGTCAAGGTACGTTTTCGGTAACTTCAATCTCTGAACTAGCTCCGAGGCAATAATTGTCACCTTTCGGATCGGGTTAATTACGGCACGTACTTTATTCCATTTGCTATCGTGTTTTATTTTTATCATGGCAGTGGGTATAAGGGTCGGCCTGGCTAGTAGTGTTGGAATCTCTTGATCTTTGTGCAGTCGTTCGTCGCTCTTTGTTGTTTTGGTTTTCTCTTTGCAAAACAACCTGGGGTGTCCATTTAGGGTTGAATGGTGCTCCCCGTTACACATGTTGCATCGTTTTGCGCTTGTGCATCTTTGTGTTGAGTGCGATCTGGCCAAGCAGTTGACGCAGTACTTATACTTAGTACCGTGCGATGGGTACTTCCTCTTTCTTCTCGAAGGGGGGAGAGGGTCGCTTTAAAGCGATGTAAGCGTCTAGCTTACCCGTCCCATTGTCGGAGAGTGGGGTGATGCTTCGGGTGACGCTGACTGATCGTACGGTGAAGGCTGGGCTGCTCTGTCGGCTGCAGATTGATTCGATGCTATTTTGAGGAGCTATGTCACTATAAAGAAATGAGATTAGTTATTTGCTAAGGTGACTATTTTGGTTATTGGGCGGGTAATTGTTCCTTAAGAAGTACGTATGTCAACTACTCTGGTCTTATTGTCTGCACCGGGATATTTTTTTTCGATGCGACCAAGTTTGGGGTAGAGTTTCTTGGCGTATAACTACCATATCATTGACCTCTATATTGCGTTGAGGGTATTTCCACTTATACCGTTTGTGGAGTTCTTGCAGATATTCTTCTTTCCATCGTTTGCAGAAGTGTTGATGGGATGGATCTTCTAAGTTGGGTTCTGCCGGGGTTAATAAAGGTTCTATATTCCTGGGGTCTTCACTTAGTGGGCTTAAAGGTCGAGAATTCAAGCTGCAGCTTTCGATTCGGGTTAGAAGGGTAGATAATTCTTCGAAAGTGAATTTTTGGATCTGAGACACCTTTTTTAAGTGGCTCTTTAAACTTTTCACTCCTGCTTCCCAGAGTCCACCCATGTGGGGAGCTCGATGGAGGATTAAAGTGCCAGTTGATATTTTGCTGTGCTTCACTTGTTGTTACTTGTGTTTTTAGTGATTTTTCGTCGATCTTTGATTAAGAGTTTAGACGCTTCCACGAAATTAGGAGCATTGTCAGAATAGAGATCGGCGGGACATCCGCGCCTTGAAAAGAATCGTGCGAATGCAGCCATAAATGCTTGGGTGGTGAGATCGCTTGCTGCCTCCAGGTGTATTGCTTTGGTTGCAAAACAAACAAATACGCATACATAACCTTTTGTGATCAAGCACGCTCTGCCGGTGTAATTTTTTATGTCATAGGGACTGGCGAAGTCGATTCCTGTTGCTGCGAATGGGCGGGTTAGGGTGGTACGTTCCGCTGGAAGAGCTGCCATTATTTGAGTAGTTTCTCTTTTCTTGTGTAAAACGCAAGTTTTGCACTGATGGATAATGGACTTGATGAGCGTTTTAAGCTTCGGTATCCAAAATTCCGGGCGCATGAGTCGTAAAACTAGTTGGTTGCCACCATGTAGCGTAATTGAGTGAGTAAATTGGGTGAGTAGTTTTGTTAATCGACTGCTATAGGGTAGTATAATCGGATGACGCTCGTTATATGATAATGCGGCTGAATTGCTCAATCGGCCATTAACTCGCATTATTCCTTTGGGATCGATTAAAGGGTTTAGGGTCAAAATGTTACTTTTACTGTGTATGCTGGTTTTTTGAGTTAAAGCTTCATACTCCTCCTGGAAGTGCTTTCTTTGGGTTAAAATAATTAACTTCGTGCGGGTAGTTTTAAACTCGTCTGGAGTTATTTCCAACGTTGTGTGTGGCTGTTGTGATCTGTTGGGTGACGCATTCGAGCAGAACCTGAATAAATATGCTATGACTCGAATGGCTTTGGGTAGTGATGAAAATCTATCCAGTATATCCTCTTGTGTTGTGTTGACGAAAGTCTTGATTGGCCGCAGTTCCAGTGTTGTATCGATTGCTTTCCGGGTAATTGGCCAATGTTTCGGGTCGAGTTTTACCCATTGGGGTCCGTGCCACCAGAGGTCCGCGACTGCCCAGATTTGCCGGATTGTCCTGGCTTTCGATGTGACTCCAATTTTCGGTTCCAACTTTTTCTGCAATTGTGGCAACTCGGTGGGATACAAAGGTTGTCCATGAGCATGGGGGTTTGCTTAGCCAAGAAAGGACAATTGTACAATCCGTCCAAAGGTGTGTGCGGTACTGAGTAATGTTTAATTGGTGTAGGGTCGCATCCACTAGATTCGCCAGAAGAACCGCTCCGCAAAGTTCTAGCCTTAGTAAAGATATACTTTTTTTTGGGGACACACGAGTCTTGGATATCAAAATTGCTGTCCAGGTGTTGGCCTTTGTAGAAACACTGATGTATAGGTTTGCTGCGTAAGCTTTTTCTGATGCGTCAGAGAATCCGTGGAAATTGATGATCGCGGATGTCGAAAAGTGGGTCCACCGAGGAATTTCAATCAGATTTAGGGTTTCGTAATCCTTTATGAAGGTTTTCCAGCGATGGAGAGTTAAGGGTTTTAAACTTTTATCCCAATCGGATTTATCGATCCATATTTGTTGCATTATTATTTTGGCTGTGACTACAACGGCACTGAGCCAACCAGCTGGGTCGAACAATTTTGCTATAATCGATAATACTTCTCTTTTAGTAAACGATGTCTTATCGTGAATAGGGTTGATGAGAAAAAA